ATACATTTCTCATGTTTCATTTAGAATCTGTACTGGATTGATCTGTATCTTTCACAAGTATAAAAAACGCCATGCTATGGAATCCTTTATGAAAACAGAGAGTTCAATACACATTAAAAAGATAGCAGATCAACTTGTAATTACTAGGCAAAGAAGAAAAAAGAAAAAGAAAAAAGGAGAGGCATAACAAATATTTGTGAAGAGTTTATCTATCATTTATGTGACCAATAAACCAATGATGAATGCAGTTAAAATTTTGCCACTTCTTTCTGGGTATGTTAAGCTTGCGGAACAGAACTTTTTTCCTTTTGTGTATCCTTAACCTTTATAACTATTCTCGAAGATGCATTTGAGATGCAATTTTGGAGATGTTTTGGTCTATTTTTATCGCTGATGGATTTATCTGCACTGTTAGATGTAGTTGTATGCATTATGTCATCACATTTTAACCTGTCAAATGACTATATCTTGTACACATTAGTCCTTGATCAAACCAACTGTAAAATCTTGGCCAGGACCCATTGTAATATTAACCTGCTTGCAAGTAATTTGGAGATGTCTTGGTATATTTTTGTTGCTATCGGATTTGACATTCACTTTGAAATGGCCTTGTCTGCACTGTTAGATTTTAGTTGTATGCACTATGTGATCATATGTATAACACTTTTAAGCTGTCAACTGACTATAGCTAAGCTAATTGAGCTACAAAGTGATTCGGCCCTTGTCAAATGAACTGTAAGATTTTGATCAGGACCTGTTGTAATATCCGCCCCCTTGCAAGTAAGTAGCCTGCTTTGTGATACTAACTGTAGTTTCATAAAGTATTAAACCAAGTAGAAGCTCTGTATCACATGAACATGTTCCAGTTATGTCCCAAAAAAAGAAGTAAAAGTATAAGAAAAAAATGATCTCTAAATTTGATTGAACCATTTGAGATTCTTAGAAAGAAGTCCAGGAAGTTTGAAGGATCAAGATCGAAGACTCTTGTTGCAGCATGAAGCTTTAACTGAATGATAGACCGTTCTGATCTTGTCCATTACTAGCCAAAAACATATAACTCTAGTGAATCATATTCAATCGAGACCAAGTAGAAAACAGTAGAAAAGTCTGGTTTTCAAAATTTCATGCTTAGAAATCTCCATCTAAAAATTGCATTTTGCCCATGTTTGTAATGCTTGAATTAATAATTAAACTTCCAATTTCTCCTTTTATTTTTGCAAATATTGACACCATAGTCATTCACAATGACGCGTTGTTCACCCCCATGCAGGAGAGTCCGCAGCGTTTTTGATATGGCAGTTAGAGTCCACAAAAACATACAAGAGAGAGATATAGAAGTGGGTCGAAACCTTGGGAACCGAATCCTCCGGTGGCTAGACAAAATGAAACCATCTGCAGAGATTCGACGTTCTCCTACAAACCCATCCTCCAAAATCAACAACAGCAACATCATCAAACAAACACCAAACACCGCTCAGCAAACCCATAGGGTGAACTCGAAGCTCAGCGAACAAAAGCCCAAAGGGAAGTTGTTCTTTAGTCCTCTGAACATCAGACAGAGATCGTTCCCTTCTATCGCTGTGATGATGCAGCCGATGAGATCAGCTGGAATGAATGGACACTACAGGCAATTTTCACAGTTCACACCGGCTGCTCCTGCTTTAGGGTATAGAATCGGTAAATCAGAAGGTGGTGTTTTTCGCAAGGATATTGCTATGTTGATGATGAGTTCATGATGAGGAATTGATGGGCGCTAGGAGTGTTGATTACCCTTTTTTTTTTTTTTCTCGGGCATTGCTGGGGCTTTGGGCTTTAGTCATTGTAAATCATTTGATAGAATAAAGAACATCTTGTGGTGAAACACTTGTTGACGGTTCCAGCAGTGTGTCTGTTGTGAGGTTCTTGGCAAGTTATGTGATGAAATTTTTAATCTTGAAATCCGTTGGCTAGGCGCTCTCTGTAATAACCGTTGAATTACGAGTCAGGAACCAATTTCGTTAATCATCATCCTGTATAATTCCTTTCCAGCATTCTAGTGAAAATTTCTTGTAGAACATGAACCCTTTTATGTCAGCTGCATAAAAATGTTCCGGTTGTCAAGCATGTTCTTCTAATTTTTTTAATGCTGTTAAGTATTAGTCTGTTTTGATTTGTTTTTTTTAATATTTGGATCTAAAATCCATTACAATTAATCATGATGAGGTAAATAGCATGTCATTTTTATTTGGAAAAATGATACAGGTACACCATCGGTCACACCTCCAGCCATCCCCCTAGCTACAGTGCAGGTGCTCCTCTTGAGATTTTAAAAAAAATCTCAAGTGGAGCCCTGTGCACTGTAGCTAGGGGTGTGTCCGAAGGTATGCCCGAGGGTAGGGCTGTCCATCCGGGCTGACCCGGCCCGGGAAACCGGGCCCGGGCCGGGCAAAACCCAAGCCCGGACCTGGGCCCGGGTGGTCCGGGCTGGGCCCGAGCCCGGGCCGGACACCGGGCCGGCCCGGTTTGTTTTTTTTATAAATTTTTTTTTATTTTTTTTTATTTTTTTAAAATTTTAACAAAACCATAAATCATAAATTATTATAAAAAATGTCATAAATTTAATTAATAACTTGAAATGAAATGACATAAATTACAAGTACAAAAAATGATAAAAATAACTTCTTTATTAATAATCGGTAAATCCTTTACAAGTATAAATTTATTTCGAAATTCGTCGCATCACAATAGATGAGTACATCCCAACTAGGTTGGCACCTACTCACCCATATCACTATCATTTGCAACTTTTTTCGAAATAATTTAATTCAAATTTAAAGCTAAGAAATAAAAATTACAATTTTATGAATATTATCTAATCATTATATCTATCTGCTAGTCCCAACTCTTCAAATTTATCTTCAATCATAGCAATCCGTTCGATGCCTTGTGTTCGCTTCTCGTATCTCCACCAATCCTGTAAGCACATCACCGCTTGTACAGTATACGGATCTAAGCATGTCCTGTGGTCGTCGATCAAACGTCCTGCTGTGCTGAAAGCGGATTCCGAGGCTACAGTCGAAACCTGCACTGATAGTAAGTCACGAACCATGGTGGAAAGTATAGGATATGAAACTGATCCATATACTTTCCACCATTGCAAAATATCTAAAGCATTTCCTTGACATCTAACTAAAGAAGCAGAAAAATATTCATCTATTTCAGAAACATCTAATCCTGATGAAGTTCCAGATCCACCAGTTAGTTCAGCTACCATTGCATACCTATCAAAACTTACACTTTTACCTCGACCTGTGCTCGAAGCTGAAGGTGCCGAAGCTGAAGACTGTTGTGTAGCTACACCATATCTAGCTGCATACTCATCATATAAGGTTTGAAAATAATTTCTAATAGCTAAATAATGAGTAGTAGCAGTAAGGGTGGATCCATCATCTAAGTCTATAATCTGTCCACCATACAATGATTGTAACAAACTTCGAAGGCCAATTTCCTTCAAGCATGGATCAATAAGAACACCAATACCAAAAATATGAGGAATAGGCCTAAAATACTTATTAAATTTACTCTCCATTTCAAAAATTATACTTCCAAAAATATCATCCATACGATATTTTGTAAAATTTTTTTGAATATTTAAAATTTGTAAAGCAGCTAAAGTAATAGTTGGATAATAACAACCAGATAATAACATAGTAGCATCATAAAAAACTTGTAACATCTCATTTAATTTACATATAACTGTCCATTCATCTTCAGTTATTCCATAAGCACTACCAGAGCTAGAACTAGAAGCATAAAAATTTATAAAATCATTTATAATTTCTTTATATTCTATTGCTACAGATAACATTGCATAGGTGGAATTCCACCTATGGTCAACATCTTTTGGAATTAGTCTAGGCTTATAATTTTTTCTTTTACAACATTGTTTCCATCTTTTAATTCTCATTTCAGAAGCATTATGCATATTAGTAACTGTTCTAACTTTTTCTATCATGGGTTTAATTTCAGAAAATGCACTTTGAACAATTAAATTTAAAATATGACAGATACATCTAACATGAAAAAGCTCACCATGACATGGCAATGACAAAGTTATTTTCAGAAAATCAACAGCTACATTATTATTACTTGCATTATCTAGTGAAAGAGTAAATATTCTTTGATCAATTTCTAGTTTCATAAGTTCTTCAACAATTAAATTTGCAACATTAATACCAGTGTGTGACTCTTCAATTGCAATAAAAGAAACAACTCTTTTAAACATTTTCCAACTTTCATCAATCCAGTGTGCTGTTATACATAAATAACCAGTTTGCACTCTAGATGACCAAATATCAGAAGTTAAAGAAAATTTGCAGTTTAAATTTTTAAAATAAGAAATTATTTTTCCCTGTTCCTCAACATAATATTTTAAAATATCACGTTGACAGGTTTGACGAGAAAATTTTGTAAATGCAGGATAAAAACCATCTCTAAATAAATCTTCAAATTCATCATCTTCTACTAATTTAAAAGGAAGGTTTTTAAGAACAATAAACCTGATTACGCATTTCCGGGCTCGGGCAGCGTCATAATTCCAACTGCCGAGGGTACCTGAAGAGGATGATTGGGAAAGCATAGACTGCCGGATATCACCTTGTAGATTTTGGCCTTTGTTGTGTTTTTCAATATGCCGTTTGAGATGGTTGGTGCCGCTCTTATGATGAGCTTTGAATATCTGGCCGCACAACGCACATTTCGCATTCTGAGAGATGATCCTACCGTGTTCATCCTTGGTGACGTCTATCTTCTCAAAAAAATTCCATACATCAGACCTCGGCCTTTTTGGAGCTCTTGGTGCCGTAGATTCGTCGCCACCAGATTCAGGATTAACACCGGTAGGATGAGGAGTTGTTGTAGGAGGACTCATCTCTGGATCGGTAGGAGTTGCATGTTGCTCTTCATAATCAGACCCAGAAGCCATTTGTTGGAAGTATTAGAAAATACAAAAGATTATGGCACGACCGGGCCGGGCCCAGGCCGGACACCGGGCCGGGCCCGGGCTCCGGGCTTTTTGGACACCCCTACCCGAGGGTGTGCCTGTAGCACCTCCTCTTTATTTGACCTCAGTACCATTTTGTAAAATCAAGGATTTATAAATAAATAAGATACTTTCAGCTGTTCTGTGCTTGATTGGGCCGGGCACGACCGGGCCGGGCCCAGGCCGGACACCGGGCCGGGCCCGGGCTCCGGGCTTTTTGGACACCCCTACCCGAGGGTGTGCCTGTAGCACCTCCTCTTTATTTGACCTCAGTACCATTTTGTAAAATCAAGGATTTATAAATAAATAAGATACTTTCAGCTGTTCTGTGCTTGATTCTATTCCTTTGGGTATTGAAGAACTTTTCTTCGCGTTATTTTCAGAAGGAGCAGCTTTGACTTCAAGCACTAGATAATGAATTGTCCCGGCAATCACTCTGAGATGTGGTTAATAATCCATGAAAATTTTGACTTAGCCTGTTCTCAAAGAATATATAAACGACAATATTAAATATTTTGACATATTAACTATCTTGACTGTTTCAAATCCTCTACTAACTGTTGTCTAATAACGTTCCACGAGTAACGCGTTCAGTGGGACCACGACTCCGTTGGCCGGCCAAACCACCGGCGAGCGCATGTTAGCCACCTCCGGCATTTAGACCAAAGGGGGCGGCGCATTTAAAGAAGAAGCGGCAAACGAAGGACGTTTTTTTTTTTTTTTTTTTTTTGCGCTTTTTTTTGACGGAGTCGTGCCACGACGTGGCGGTGCCTAAAGTATGTAAAACATTAAAATTTACTTTATTTTTTGGCCTTTTTGTTTTAAGAGTTTGACGCGGATACTAATGCCGACCAATTCCCCGAGAAGGGAAAGGGAAATAGATAGCGCACCCAATCCAAACCCTAACCCTAATTTCAACCCTGATCTCTCGCTTGAGATCAGTTTCAGATCCAGAGGGATCCGGTCCTTTCTTCCCTCAAAACTCGGATCCAAATGATCACTCCAAGAATCACACAATTCTGTCCAATTTCGATCGTTTGATCCCATCCAAGATTGATCGGTTTCTTGAAAAAAACGAGCGAATTTGCTGGAAGATTCTGAGACCAGAGCATTTCAAGATCAAGAAGACGAGATCGGAGATGAGCGACGGCGAGGATGGAAATAGTAACCCTAGGGAACCGGTGGAGCTCGACGATGAACAGATCGCCGAACTCCGAGAAATCTTCAGATCGTTCGATCGGAACAACGACGGCAGCCTCACTCAGCTCGAGCTCGGATCGCTTCTCCGATCGCTCGGCCTAAAGCCGAGTCCTGATCAGCTCGAAGCCCTAATTCAAAAGGCTGACACTAATAGCAATGGCCTCATTGAATTCTCTGAGTTTGTAGCTTTAGTTGCTCCTGAGCTTCTACCGGCTAAATCGCCGTACACTGAGGAGCAATTGAAGCAGTTGTTCAAGGTGTTCGATAGAGATGGGAATGGGTTTATTACTGCGGCGGAGCTCGCTCATTCAATGGCGAAGCTAGGGCATGCTTTGACGGCAAAGGAGTTGACGGGGATGATCAAAGAGGCGGATACTGATGGGGATGGGAGGATCAGTTTTCAGGAGTTCTCGCGGGCGATAACATCTGCTGCTTTTGATAATTCATGGACATGAGGGATAGGTTTCCATTCTGTTCTCTACTCATCTTTTATGAATATTTTTTCGATTGATTATATTATTTTGAGTTTGCTATACTAAGATTTCTTCTCTATGTCCACGTAAATAGTTATATGTCAAAAAATGGACCCCTTGGGGACTTGATGATTGATTGTTTTGGGCCTTATGTGTATATAAAGAGAGGAGGTTTTCATTCTCTCTCTGTTTTTTAGTTAAATGTTTCAGATATGCATTTGAAAATATCGCAACTGTTGTGGTCACTTCAATATGAGTTTGATCTGAATTTTCCCTGCGAATAATTACTGACAGTAAACAAATGAGCAATGCTAGATTGGTCAGAGCATGCTGAAGTTTGAAATTTACAGCTGTTCTCGATTACAATAGGGAATGATATTGGTATGAAGAATCTTCTCTCATATGAGGAGGATAGGGCTCTTCTCCTCTTCCCTTTTAAACAACTAAAGCTTTGTTGTTGTCGTCTAATCTTTGAAGTTCGAAACTTTCTGGTTTACTTGTATACAATCCTAATAAGTGCGACCTGACTTTCTAACCATATTAATGAGTTCAGTTTTGTTTTTAAGGGAAACCTTAAGTTACAGTTAATTCGCTTGTATATGTAGATTTGAACTTCAAACTTAAGTTTGCTTATTATGCTTGCTTCTGAGTTAAACATGTCTGTATTGTTTATTGTATTTACATTATAGGCCATAATGATCACTAGTGTGTAGGGGTGGTAAACGACCGAATCAGATCGAATACTAGTGTATTCGAATTCGATTCGGTAAATTTTCTCTTATTCGAATTCGAATGTAGTTGGTGTTTAAATTCGATTCGTGTTAATATTCATGAATTCAATAAATATTCACAAATATTTGATTAGCACAGATGGTAAGTTAATTCTTTTACCATGCGTCTTAGGTTCGAGCCACACTTGTGGCACTATTTTAACATATAAACTTCCTAATATTGAACAAAAACCAATCCTCTTAACTAATGTCATTATTCACAAATTTTTTAAATACTAAATATAGGAAAACTACAATATTTTTTGTAAGACTATTTTATATAAAAGTGTATCTTATTTAATTTTTTTAATCTAATTATTCTTGCAAATCATTATGTTGGTAGCATTTTACCATTGGGTCTACTTATCTATGTCATGTTGCGTAAAAAATATAGTTTCGCACAAAGTAAAATGGTAGGCTCCATTTACTTAATGTATTTATATGAGTATCCTTTGTAATAATGTTTTGGATGAATAATATTGTAATGAGCTAAATTCATATGGCTAAAATATAAAATATAGTCGAATAATTAATAATCAACCGAATCGAATGCCCCTGTGGTTAAATTCTATTCATTTATGAACCGAATATTAAAAAAATATTTGTTTACTGTTAAATGAACTAGCAATTGAATATTGACCGAATTGAAAGAATCCTATCCTGCTCTTATACCAATTGAAAGCACCCTAATGCCACTAGGAAAGAACCCTAGAGGGGGGTGAATAGGATTTATGCTAATCTAATCTGATTTATGCTGATTAAAATTAATTAACAAATATATACTAGCAAGAATGATATTCAACAAGATATGAGCAAGGATATATAAACTAATACAATGGTAAAATAAACAATAAACAAACAATAGTGATAGTGAGCAAATAAACAATGCAAACACACAATATGATCACGGAGTTTGGACATTTCGTCCTACGTCTCCGCTCCCCACTCCCGGGGAAAAATCCACTATCACACCGGGTTTTCAACGTTCACCCGAAAACATTTACACCTCACACTCAGTTTTCTAATTCACCGAAAACTTTACAATTACTCACAATGTAAACACACTAACTACCACATCAAGTGTTGGTCTTTAGCCCGTGTCTCCCTCAAGTGTTAGGAATTATAATATCTCTCTAGGTATTACCACCTACCCCACTCTTCTTAGGACGACCCGGTCTCTCACCACACAATCCTCTTGGTGTACTAGTATAATACAAGGTGAACTTCATAATTAGGCACTCTAATACACTTTACACAATTGTAAATACACTTCACACCCTCTAAGTGTTGGCCTAGCCTGTGTCACATTCCTTAAGTGTTCGGAATTACCACTTCTCACTAGGCTTTACTACCGACCCACTCCTCTTGGAACCGACCCCGTCTCTCACCAACCACTTCTCTCGGTGTCCAAGTACAATACAATGTGCAACTCACAATGAAGCTCGATACAACAAAATGTTCTCTAATATGGATGAGAACTCAATGTAAGCTTACTCTCGATTGTTACAACTCCCCACAACCCAAATTATACTAAGTATAAAAATACAATAAGCTCAATGGTTGTGTGTGTAAACAATGAGAAAACAAATATAAACTCAATGTAAATCTAGCTTATGAAATTATACTCAAACGTATAAAATAGCTAGGATTGAGTTTAAGAAAAACTTCTCTATAGATCAAGAGAGAGAGAGAGAAGAGTTGAATGCTCAAACACCAATTGATGATCTTTCTCAAGCTCTTGTGAAATTATCTTCACAAACAAACTCTTAAAAACACACTTAAACCCTTAAACAAAACTTGTAAACCTCTTTAAAACTTTTCTCTTGTGTAAATAGAACTGAGGATATGAGGGGGTATTTATAGGAACCCTAAAGCCAAGAGAAAACAAGGCAAAAAGACCAAAAAACTAAAACTGGAACAGACTAGAAAAAACTAGTCGTTACAGCATCAGTCGACTGATGAGTTGACCGTTAGAGATATTTTCCAGCTCATCAGACGACTGACGACCTTATCAGTCGACTGATGACCTCATTAGTCGAATGGTCAGTCGACCAAAACAAAATAGAAAATTTTTGTTATTCCAGTCGTTTTTTTCAGTCAACTAAACACATTCATCAGTCGACTGATAAACACTGTATCAGCCTGATTTGAATAGTAAAACTAATTTTTGAAGTGTCTTTAAAAATAGAAAATAAATTTTAAAAAATATAAAACTTTGGAAAATGATTGTAGACATGATAATACACATGTTACAAAAATTGGTTTTCAAAAATCACCTCCTATTTATAAAATATCATCATTTTACAAAATGTCCAAAAACATGAAACTAAACATACATGTTTTTAAGATATTGATTTAAACAAACTTTTGAAACTTTGTAAACTGATTTTATAGACTTAATAAAATATGTATAAACTGATATTAAAGTCTATAAACTAATAAAATAATGTTTTCATAAAAACACCTATATTTTGATAAAATCAATAAATACATGTGTGTGATTTATATGAGCTTAAAATATTAACACACAAGTATAAACCTATACTACAAACACTATAAACTATATACCCAAGCTTGAAGGTTTTCAATATAGCTTGATTTGGTAAACTTACGGATGAAACTTGAACTTGGATCTTTAACTTGAATTGCATGACTTCACTCCACTATTCCGCCAATCTTCATTGGATATTATCGTTATGACACAATTCTATCCATCCTCCAACTTATTGTTTGCCTAGAATAAATACAAAACATAAACACTAGACAAATAACATTAGTTGTAAATTATTTGTTAATCATTATCAAAACAAAAGAATCCAACAATCTCCCTCTTTTTTATGATGACAAATAATTTACAAAAAGATATATATGCATGAAAGAAAATGAATATACAAATTATAATTATCATGCATATAACCAAAACAAAATATACTCACAATATTTTTCTCCCTTTGGTAACATCAAAAAGGGAAAAAACAAAAGAATGAAGAGAGCGAAAGCTCCCACTGCAAATAAACATGGGTGAGTATAAAACAAAAAAAAAAAGATATAAGGATTGCTTCCACTATCAAAATGCCTTAAGGAATATATGCAATAAAGTACAAGGCAAACATGTGAGCAAGCATAAACATGCTAAATATCACTCACATTCAAAAAGACAATGAGAACACAATTAGATATGTTATTATGAAATAGTGTCTCATGGCAAAAACCTATAAACCATGTATAAAATAGATTTATGAAAACAAGAGCATAGAAAACATGAGAATCATGAAAAAAGTTTTCAAATGATAACATATCACTCAAATAAAATCATAAATCAAGATTTAAATCATAAAACAAAAGTTGTCCAAAACCAAGAAAAATAAAAACATTAAAAATCTTGGTTTTAAAAAAAATCAAATTTGCTTTGGTACCCAAGTGTTCTTGGTACTAAAAAGTTTAGGGACATTATGACTCCTATCATCTAAGATCAAAGCCCTAGGGTTATGAATCCATTTGGGCGCATTTAGTGTACGAACACGGTCAAAATAAAAATTGTGCAAATGACATTTTCGATTGCAATAAGAACAATGAAAGAGGCCCTTTTGATTTTGTTGACCACAAACTTGTGCACGGGATTCATTTGCAAAAATAGGTTTTTCTTTAAAATTATTTTGCAAATGGGAAACTCTTTTTAAATCAAAATAAAATTTGATCAAATGACCAAATCTACCACAAATATCACACTTAAATTTTTGTGGTCTAATGAAATCATTTGGCAAAGTTAAAGTCTTTTTCAAATCAAAGCAAATTTTTGCCAAATGGTCAAAACGACCACAAAGATCACATTTAAACACATGAGCATGCTTATGATGAACTTTATGAGTGTGTGCATGTACATGTGATGAAGAAGCCTTATGAGATGCATAAGAAACATTGATATTAGTATTTTTAGATTTTTGTGCATCATAGCAATATTTAGCTAGATGGCCTTTTCGGTCACAAATGAAACATTTGTAAATTTTGCTATACATATGTGCATAGTGAGTGTTGGATTTGGAAGAATTAATACGTGATTTTGCACATAAGACCATAAGTTTCTTATTATTAACAATGTATATTTTAAGGGTTGAATCTAAAGATGATATTCTATTTTTAACATGATCCAACTCATTGTTAGGCATACAAGCATTGTTATTAGAAGTAGAACATATGTAGTCATTTATAAAGGAAGCAA